TTGGAGAGGGAATTCTGAAAGTAATTCCGGAGATAATATTTCAAGATAAACTACTGTTTGGATTAGAAAGAAATATGAGTATTATTTTAACCTTGGTTTTCAATGTCCTTCATCAAATTATCAATTTATTACTTTTGCTGCAGGCAGTTTCTTCTTTCATCTATACCCAGATAGCTGGGCCCAAGTAACCAAGGATGTATTTGAAATTTCAGGCATACTGGAAATGCAAACAGCTGCCACAATACAAGAAGAAGTAAAATTGTACCTTCTAGCATTAACTGACTTGAATAAAATCTCCTGCTTTTCTAAGAAAACAAAAGAGGAGAAACAGATGGGAGTGAATTGGGAAGAGAAAAATCTATTGTTGTGATGCTTTAATCCATTGAAATACGTGAGCCTGGAAATGTAGTAATAAAAATTCAAGGACTTCATTTTAGGAGGAATTAGGTGCTAGCAGGTGTTTTCTAAGGGTCAAGGTTACACTGTCCTGAAGAATGACAGCAGGGAAGCCAGCTCTGGAGTGTCGCATCAGTGATTCTGCACACCACAGCCTAACCAGAGCTGCTGAAATGTGTTCTCATGACTGGGAGTCCAGCTGCTTTCTCTAGGACGCAGGTAAGACTCAGCTGTGCTTTCATGTTTCATCCTCTTTTTTTACTCTTTCTTTCCTCTTGACTGGTATTTATGTCATGGCTTAGTAAAAGATAATTCCAGTATTTTCTTTGCTCAGCCTGACTGACTTACTCCTTGGTCAGCAGTCATCAGACCCTGTGCTTTGTGCACTGAACTGAATGACCTTTTCCACCTACTCAGGACAAATACTTTTTTTCCTTAGCAAAGATAGACACTTTCTTCAGCAATAGTGAACATGTCAATTTAAAGCTAAGTGGGAAAACTGAATTCTAGCATTTAGTTCCAGAAGGCAGCCTCAGTTTATATGCCAGCAAGTCACATGGCAATACAACACATTTTTATTCAAACAAAAATGAATAGTTGCCATAGTTACCAAAAAATCATAAGATGCCATATAAAACTGGGAAATGAATGTATTATCTTTAAAGGACACAATTGCCAATGAATAAGAACAGCCCTTTCCTTTTGTTTTAACCAACTGGGTGGTAACATCATGCCAGTTGCTATTTTGTGCAGTGCAAAATCTGACAGAATACTGAACCCTTTATGGAGTGAATACATAAATATATAGCTAGTGCATTTCTAGATATGCCTCAGATACACATGTTGTTGGAATCTTTGTAGATACAGTAATTTGGAATAAAACTGGTGCCTTTACTCTTTCTCTTACAAGAGAATATTTTCTTTCTGCTGGGGAAAATATATCTGATTTTCATTACTTATTTTTAAAGCATGAAAAGAAAAATTTTCATGATTTCAGTAGACACATTTTGACTTTGTAACCTCTCTTGATACACTGTATAAATGGCTTGACTTAGCTGAGAATTGCACTTCTGCCAAAACTGGTGAATCCTGAATTTCGCTAAACTTTGGCTATCTAGTTAAAGCAATTGGCATGCTTCTGTTCGCTTGTGTTGATGGGAACTGGGTATCTATATATAGCCATCAATGCTTGTATGACTTCCACAGTCCATAATTGACCTGGATTTGAGTGGTCAAGGCTTAATGGAATTGGAGAGTCTACTGCCAGAGTTACAAAAATATTTCTGCAGGCAGAAGGAAAGAAAAACCTTAGGTATGTGCCTTTTGGTGGTCATCTGAGAGGAAAATAACTACAAAAAAGATGCATTTCTCATTGTACAGAACTGGTCAGGAGGATGATTTCGTACAGCATGGTTTATCACAGACTTGTACATTTGCTATCATTGTAATCATTGGCAAAGACTTTGTAAATGGTTGTACCTGACAACCATCATAAGAATAAAATAAATGCAAGTATAAATAAATAGAAAAAAGTCAATATCATGAACACTGGTAGCTTAAATCTAAAATATTTTGCAAGTCAAGGAGAAGTGAGAAAAAGCTGGCTAAAGGAACAAAACTAGACCAAAATAATTTTTCCAGTGTATTTGGAAAAGAAGCCTACCAGACAGCCTGTATTGGGACAGCCAGATTATAGAAGGAGCACTCAAGGAGGATGAGGCCATTTCAGGGAAGCTCCATGAGTTTCATGCATTGATGTGCATTGTGGAAGAAACAAAAATATTTGCACCCTCTAAGGCCCTAACACAGGAAAAAAAGGAGTCAGCATAGAATATGTTTAAAACACACAGACTGCAGAGGAATATGTGGTAAAATTTGATGGAAGAAACCCCCCAAAATCATCAATTTGGTTAACATCCACATACTAGTTCAAACACAGCTTAAGTATGAAGCACCTTGCACTTTCAGGCTCCCTTTGGAGCAAGCCTGGTATCCAGAGACAGGAGAATGACAACTCTTACATCCTAAATAAAAAATAGTTGGTGGGAGCAAAGCGGGGAAGCACAGGCTGGCCATTCTGAATCCTGTACTGGGCACATCAGCAGAAGCTTTGATGGAGGACAGACTTCAGCACACCTCTGTTGGTTGACGTTGTGCCTTTTTATGGCTTCTTGAAGTGCTTTCAGAGCAGCACCAAGTATATCAATGAGATGATTTGCTATGCTAAAACAATGTACCGAAGTTTCCAAAAGGCAAACATTCTCCTAGAGCTTTTTAGCCATGTGGTGGGGCAAGAGGAAAGGTTGTAACATGGATAAGTTATTGGCGGAAAGATAAACAGAGGAATGATTTGGTCAGGGACCATGAGAAAGTGTGCAGATGATACTGTGTTATTCAAGGTACAGAGGGGGTCAGTGGCAAGCAGCACATAAAAGGGCTTTACAAGATCCAGGTATGAATGAAATGTTAGGCCAAATCTAATACAGATCAGAAATGCAAATTGATCCACTGGGAAAAACAGCCTAACCTTTGCATTAACATGGTAGGTTGTGAACCTGCCATCTCCCAGCATCTTCCAATTTTAGGTTTTGGCAGATTTAAATAGGATCCATACCTGTTTGTAATGAAGGACAGGAAGAAAACCAGTTTCTATATGTGAATTTTAGGAGAAAGAGATAATTTTCTCATTCAAGCCTGATAATTTCTGAATGAGAGAGGAAGGTCTTGAATGATACTGTAACCTGTTCCATTAACAGAATAGCACAGCAGTCTATTTTTAGATCACTTCATCCTGTGCAGCAAGGGAGCAATTTCATTGCCTTCCCAATACAATCTAGGCTTGACTGTGTATATGGGCTTTTTAATTAGACCCCCTCCTCCCCACATACATATTTATGCAGGGAAATTTATTCGAGAAAACTCACTTTTGGGTACATATCCAAGTTTTGTGTGTAAAATAACATTAGACGTGAAATAAAGCAGAACCACTTCAAATTATTATGTCACCCAGACAGGAAAGAAAACAACATAATGTAGAAAAAAACAAATGATTGAATATTCATAAGAATAAAACCTATTTAAACCAAAGTTGTTGCAGTCAATCATCTATAAGCAATCCACAGGTTGAAAATTGCATGCCATATATATTTGATAAGCAACTGGAAATTGTAAACAATGAAGCAAGAGCCAGACAAATAACAGACTAACAGCAGTGAAAAAAACCCCAGCATTTAACAGTACTTTTGTTTCCTGAAATTGTCTGTGCTGCTTTATATCACAGGGCTAGAATACTACCTACAACAGAGCCTTGTTTAATAAATACAGGATCTTACTCTGGAATCCAAATTTCTGATGCCCCTGGGAGTTGATGATGTTGGCAGGTAACTGTATCACTGATTATTATAGCACAAAATAGTCCTGTTCATGGCTGATCAGGGGCTGGGGAAATACGTGACTCATTTGGAGTCATAATCCAGCATTTAAACGCCACACATTAATTTCTTGCTTGGCACTGCCGTTCTATCTGAATGAATTTTGTTGCTTATCCTGTAAATAATTAAGAAATCCTGTCTGTCTTCTATAGAAAAAGAACATGACACAGCAAGAAAACCAATATACGTAGAAGCTGTGATTATCTGTGCTCACGTAGGAGAATCAAGGCTAGAATAGAAATTGCTTGCTTAATTTGTTGGGGTATAATCTTCTCTCTCGCCCTTAGCTCCTTGTAAACAGCTTATGCCTTTTGTGTGGCTTAGAAGCTTGCATGGATGGTCATTATCCCTCACATTTCCAGCATGTTAACTATCTATATGCCTGTGGTACATTAGAGCACTACCTAAAAAATAGTAGCAAATTTGTAATGGGAATAGTAATTTAATATCAGAAAATGTGGCAATAGGAAGATGGATATAATGATAGTAAATGTCAGATAGTCACAGAAATGAGATATTCTTCTTATTCTGAATTATTTGACTGGAAACATAACTGTAATTTCATGTCACCTAAGGTTTGATTGGAAAAGTTAAAATCTTTAACAGAAGGCTGTAAATAATATTGCCATACTAGACAGATGTTGCTCTAAGCTTACAAATATAAAGATGTTCATTTGGTCAGGGATCAGAGACAATGCAGTGTAATTGCTCAGCTAGCCAGGAGCCTGAGGTAGGGTCGGATGAATGCTTAGAATGACTAACTGCATAAGTTCAAGCCATACTGGAAACATTTTTTTTTAAAAATAAAAAATACATGTGATGGTGTGAATTTTTTAACAATACTTTAAAAATACATAAGACAAATTTGTCTAGTCATGCATTATTGGAAGACATTTTACACCTAGCTCTTTACAAAGTGTGTAACATTGTTGCAAAGTGGTGGGATAGTATTATGATTATTTTCTGCAAGCCACTAAAGCCACCTAACTGTGAAGTCTCAGATAAAGTGCATTGTGTACCCAAACTGTGCAAAAGTAAACTTCTGCATATAGTGTTTTCAATTATGATTGTCCAAAAATAGTGACTAGATAAGATTATCTTTGATTATGAGGACTAACTATAGATACCAAGCTACTGCAACTAATTATTGCCATCTTACACTATTTACAGATCTTGGAAAGAAAAGCTCCCAGCTCTTTCCAGCACAGAGCATCTTGGGGTCAACAGCTGAAAAAATGAACTAGTAAACTCACTGCTATCACCTGAAATTCATTACTTTTCCTTAATAAGGTATTCTTTCTTTTGACTGTTTCCATCTCAAAGGATAACAGTGAATTTCCTAAAGGCAAAAAAATACTCTAAATTTATCTGTAGAAACTCTGTATTTTATCAGTATATGGAACAGAAAGAACCTCAGACTCTTTGGATGTTGAAATTGTCTTAGGAGGAAGGACAAATAGACTTGGTGCACATTTTTGAACACATAAAAATGTGGTTTTGTATCAGAAGAAAATTAAAAGCCATACTGACTTTCAGAGCTTGCACTTGCTGACTGATGAATGTGTATTGATATACTGAGGTGAACTGTAGAACAAATGCACTTACAAAGTAAATTTTATTACATTAATTTTTAAAAATATCTTCATGCTAAAATAAGAACTATTATTTCAGTAAATTTCATGGAATTATAGTGTCTATTCATCTATGCATGCAAACTGTTAAAGAAGTGTTCTTTATCTGGTTGTAGAGTTAATTTATACCTAGATCTTTTATGTTGTATAATGCTAAAGAAACTGCTTGATGAATGGTATGAAATATCCAATGATATTTTCTCTCTTTGTCAGCATCTTAATTTTTGACTGTTTAGTTTGTTGAAATGTTCTGCTTTTTAAGAGTCATCAGATGTTTCCTATCTTGTCCAAAGAGAAGTCTAAACTAGGGCCATACAAGTAACTTTTGTCTTTATTTAGAGATGGTACTCCCCAATCTAGCGTTCCCTCTGAAACACTCCAAACTATGCGTCGCTCTTTCACCTCCCCCTTCCCTTCCCCCTGTGGCAGGCTGGAGAGGAGAATGAAGCACAAAAGTTTAAGATTGAGGGTTTGAGATAAGAACAATTTATTTGAAACAGCAATGAAATAAGAAATAAACATTAACAGCAAGAACATTAATAATAGATTGTACGAGGGAGGTGAACATTTCCCATGCAAGTGGTCACCATGTAAAGCCCACTCCTCAGGAATAATCAGTATTAATACATATCAATCTGTTTAATGAAACCTGTAGTAGAAAATAGCAGACAGTGGGGATTTTGCTAACTGACATTCTCTTGAAGTATGTGAAAATTTTTGAATGTCATATAAATGGCACATAGTTAATATATTTCTAAGACACTAGTAAAAAATGAGAGCAAAATATTGAACAATCTACGTTGTTAATGACTTTTTCTTGGCATGCTGTTTTTCTTATTCATACAGGTAAAATATGTACCTGAAGGACTTCATCCTGTGGCAGAGTGAATTCCATTCACATTCCAGCAGTTTGCAGAGACCTGCTGCCTGTAGGGTGGAGTGACACTGGAGAAGTTCATGGAGAACTGACTACTTTGGGAGGAACCCCACAGTGCAGCAGGGGAAGGATTCCTTTTTCTGAGCAGCGGCAGAAACAATGCGTGATGAACTGACTGCAACCCCCCATACCCTGCTTCCCTGCAATATCTGGGGGGAAAGAGGTAGAGGAGGGAAGGAGAAAGAGGTAAGAGGAGAGTCTTTTTAAGATTTATTTTACTTCTCATTATGCTGCTCTGATTTAGTTAGTAATAAATCCAGTTAATATCTCCAATTTGAATCTGTTTTGCCTGTGACAGTATTTGCTGAGTGATATCTCCCGGACCTTATCTCAGCTGCTGAATCTTTGTTATATTTTCTCTCCCCTGCCCAGCTGAGAAGTGGAGTAATAAAGCAGCTTTGGTGAGTGTCTGGAGTCCAGCCAGGGACAACTCACTCAAATGTCAATGACATTTTGGAAACTCAAAGTCACAGGCACCCTGTATTACCAAACCTCTGTGTGTGACTTATGGAAATGGATTTGATTGGTGTGCAAGCTAATAAAATAAGTCACTAGATTACTGATGATCATGAGTGAAGATATAGAAGAATGAAGATACAGAAGAGTGAAGATGTCAAGTAATGCATAATTAAAATGACTGATTCATGATCAAGGCACTATTTTCACTTCCTGCACTGAGGAATCCTTCCCCAGGTATTATTGATTCTTGGCTCAGGCTTTGATTTCTTTGTACAGCTCTGTTCCTCTAATGTTTAGAAAGGCAAGTGCTGCCATACCAAGACAAAACATTTTGCATCGGGTCAAAGGATGTCACATCAACAGGAAAACCTTTGTTGCTATTGCAGTGCCCACAGACAATTTTACTGTCTCTAATAACTCTATGGAAAAAGCCTGGGTCTGCAGTAGGTCAGCCTACACATTGTGGTGATATAAAACCAATTAATTATCCTGCAAAGATGAAAACAAATGAGGAAGAAGAGTGAAAGCATACACAAACACAAGCATAAATCAAACTTTGTCTTTTTGCACATTGATGCATATATTTTTGTGAGGGCTGAAGTCACAAATACTCTGTTGTAATTAATATTGTGCTCCAGTGAATTAGGAATAATTTCTGCAGTAAGACCAGGGGGCCTGTGGATGACCCTTCTGCAAAGGTGAGCTGAACTCACATAACTACTAATTGCACTTCTGGGGAATTGGGGGATTGGTGGAGGGCCACTGTGCCTTTCAAGTTCTAAGAGTCCACCTCTTGAGAACCTAAAGGTATTTTGCTGCCTGTAGATTTCTATAAAATAAGAGGTTTTTCTCTAGGGTTATGCCAGATTAATTACAGAAGCACAAAACTAAAAAGGTGAACAGTTATTTTCACAAGGGCTAGAAAAGAAATGACAGTCTTCTGAAAAACCCAGGAACATCAAATTACAATTAGTAAATAAATACAGGTGTGATGAGAACTTGGGCTTTAGTAATGTGTTTTGTACACAGTGTAACTTTGAAAATGACAATTTATAAAATAACAGATTATCTTTTGGTCTATGATTTGTGGGGTATTTCCAAGTAGAAAAACACACTAGTGACAATTTTTTTGAATACAGATAGTATTATTGACTACTGTGCAAAAAAAACACCTGGTGGTCTGTGATTCCCACTGTGGCATTTCCTGCCAGCTTGCCAGAAGTTGCATCACACTTTACAAAATATGCATTTTTCTTGTTATAAAGCAGACTTCATGGGAATGCATTTACTATTTTTTAAATCCTTTAATAGCAGATATAGCTAGTCAAGGATAAAAGAATCTTATAAATATGTGATAGTTTGTTTTATTCATTCACAATTGCATCTTACAAGATACAATGTGTATTCCAGGGGCTTTGGAGATATTTTGTCTGCTGACTCTTTATGCAATCAGAACAATTTAAATAAGTAGAGCAAATTCCCACTTAATTATATTTCTGAAAGTATTTTAAAAAATCTAGTTATGACTAACAGGCTGAACATATTTTACAAATGTTTTATGGTTTTTTTTTTCTGAAATGATTGTGAAGTACTTAATTAGGTGTAATGTATACCAACAGGCAAGCTATAACTGCTGAATGGTAAATAATTTCTCATTTTTAGTTATACTTTTGGCATTTAACTGACCTTTCAAAAAAGAAAAATGCATGCATAAATATACTTAAGGTATACTTGAAGTAATGATTTTTCTCAGCCTTGGTTGAATTTAAAGACATAAAGTCAAATTTTTGTTTCCTTTTACGATTTTTTTAGTTAATGGTACTGTTTGGGTAGTTTTTCCCCATTTTTTTTTCCCTCCCCTCCCTTTTTTTTCCCCTCCCCCCATTACTAATTTGTTCAAAACTTAAAATGATGAGAGAAGAATGATTTGTAAGAAAAGCCAGGAGCCGTTCTTGGAAGTTATATCCACTTCCTGTGTGTGTCTGAGCATTTCTTTGAACTCTGGGCAGGTACACGGATTGTGAAATTCATGTTTATACACAAATAATGAGGTCTGGATTAATATAACTATCACCTTGTGTGGTAATCAGTTACTATAGCTGGAGTTTGGGGAAAAAACATGCTCATATTGATAGCTGAGCTGTCCAAGTACATTTTGCACCTACATGTTTGTAGGGAGGCAGTGTTGTGTATCCTACTTTTGGAAGTTATCCACTTAAGACTTCTGGCTGCTTTATGTCTCTCTCTGAATGCTTTATGGTTCTTTACTCTTAGTGTCATGAAAAATTTTCATCCTTCTAGGGGGAAAATAATTTAGCATCTCTGACCATTGCTCCATTCTAGTCAAAGATTTCAATAAACACCTTCTGATTCTTAGCCTAGAACTCTTGAATCTGGTCTCTTCCTACAGTCTTTTGTCCACCTATCCCCAGTATTATCATTCCAGAGAGGTTTTTAATTCTCTGTGAAGTTCATCTACAAAACTAATTCAAACCACTCTTTACTGGTCAGTGAGGTTTCTGTTTCTGCTACTCCCTTTCTTTGTCTACCTACAGGGTAAACCTTATTTGAAATATGAACTAGTGAAGTTAGAAAACAATCAGGCTGTATTATATTTGCCTAGTATAAAATGAAGAGAGAAGCAGAAATGCTGAACTTTTCTGCTGTTGAAGAAAACAGAGACAGAAAACATGAGATAATGGGAATGGTCCTGTTAAATTGGTTGCAATATTAATTCCATTATTGCAATTGACAGCTAATTTTCTGGTGCTACTTTCTCCTTTTTTCTGTTTGGTATCTGGAACTGGGAAATATTTCAGTAAAATATTTCAAAATTTTCCATTTTACATAAAACAGACTTTTTAGTAGTATATTTGAGCTTATCAGACAATTCACATGCATGAATTGCACATACGTCATCTAAATGTGCATGTTTTTGTTGCCATGTTTTTAAAATTTTATGCTCTGTTTACCTGAGGACTTGAGTAGAAATATAGTCTTTTGTTTTATTTTTTGTTAGTTATCTTTTACAGCCACTTTTATTTTGAAGGCTTTATGTTTACAAATTTTTCAAATACTCTTTTGAATACATTTACCAAAACAGTGTTCTAGCTTACAAGCAATTTGGTGAAGTGTTTATAACATTTAACAGTTATCTCCAGTAAAAGTGAAGGAACCTGATGTTAATGCTGTCTAGTTACAGCCCTTATGCAGAAATGGTGAAAGATCTGGTTTTCTGTAGGTCATAGCAAGATTTATGTAATTTAGATTTTCTTCTAGTGCACACTACATAGGAATTTCTTGGAGAAGCCCCAGTTTCTCTCAGTCTGTGTGCACGAAAGAGAAGACTAGTCTAATTCCCCTGTCTGGCTGAATTAGCCTGTCATTTTTCTATGCAAAAAGTAAACCCTTTGACAGGGATTATTGATCCAGACATGTTTCATAGGAGTCTATAGTTCTTGTCTCTCATTTAGACCAAGAGTTTGAGTTTCATGGTCTGAAAGTACACTGAGCATCAGTAGCATATTAGAGTGTCTCATTATGGTGTGGTCAAGAATATCTTGGAGTCATGGGGTGTTTATTTCTGGCACAAGATTTTGCAGTCTTTTCTTCTGAAGAACTATTTTTAAAATTGTCATTTGCTTTGAAAATTTCCTGATCAGGGCTAATCTTGTATCATTTAGAAATTATTAAAAATTCTTTGACTGAAACCCAAAAAAAGTTTGTTACATACTGTTGTAATTGTAAAAAAAATGAACTTGGCAGTAATATTGGGACTAAAGATTTAAACATGTTATTGGTATGTAATGGTTAATTGTTTCTAAGTTTCATCCTTTTTATTTATTTCGATGCGTGTTTCATTCCTGCTTGCAGAAATTGATATTCCAGAGGAAATTGGCTACCAGCAGCATGAAGCTATCTAAAGAAAAAGCTACATCCGCTGAGGTAAGATAATCAGCTAAGATACATCATTTTTTAAAATAGATTTTTGCACCAATTATAGAAAGGGCAACCTCTGAAGGGACTCTTGAACAGCTCATAACCTCTCTCTCTCTCTCTCCTGACAATGAGAAAGAGAGAAAGATGCTCATTCAGCAGGCTAGAAATGTTTTTCAAAGAGATTAAAATAGATGTGGCTAACCTTCCCACATATACCCATTATCAAAGGCCTAACATTTTGACACTAGTAGTATTTAAATGCTGTCCTGGTTTGTTTTTCTCTAGGTGAAGTTTAAGACGGTGTTCCACATGGTTTGTTTTAAAACGTATTTTATGTGTGAGGCTTAGTTGCATTTTTCATTCCTATAAACTGTGCTCTAAAACTATAAAACATACTGCTGCTTGAAAAAAACCTGTTATTTTTCTGTGTAGGCATTTTTTGAAGCTATTGTCTTTGTGTAATGATGCAAATTTATGAATTATACTAACTTGTTTAAAAAGATATCAATCTGCTTATGTGGCTGTAATCATTATTGATATTTTTCTCTTTTTTGGAGTGTGATGCAAGACCAAAACTATCGATTTCACTGTTGTATGGCAAGGTACAGGGATGCTCCATTGAAGCATTTGCTTTTCTATATAGATTCTATGAAATGAAAAATTCTGCCTGAATGTAAAACTTCATAATTGAGATTCTATAAGATATTTCAGAAGTAATTTTAAGTGTTGTGACTAAGACTGTTTATAATATTAAAAAAATCATCAAAACAGGAAGTCATTTGTCTTTCTCTAAAATGGAAATTCTGCAAATGGCTGGGATAGGAGTTCTAACCTCTGTCTAAAAGAAAGCAGAGTAAGATTTTTCTGAACTTTCTTATAATTTTGTTTAAAGCGTAGCTGTGCCTACAAAACCATATTCACAACACAGAGGACAAACACAGCTATAAATGTATTTTTTAATGTCAGTCTAGATTTCTTAAGATTTAGATCTAGGTTGTTTAATAGATAACAATTTATTTGTTCTAAATAACAATTTAACTGCAGATGGGAAATGGTGAAAGAAATCCTTGTTTTGATTGGCTTCCATGCATGGCTACTGATTTACCTATTAAATTGTCTTTATCTCAACCCATGAGATTTCTCACTTTGACTCTTCCAGTTTTGTCCCCTATCCCACCAGTGGAGAGAGAGCAGTGACTGGTTGCCAGCTGGGGTTAAGCCACAACACCATCTGAAAGTGACATGTGCAGAATGAACTACCTTGAAAGGTTTAGAACAAATGATAACAGGAGAATGAACTATACTTAAAACTAACCCTAGTATTATTATTTATATCTTTAGTTGTTTTCCACAAGGTTATGTTTCCTCAGCTCTTTTCTACATTAAAAACAAGACAAACACCAAGATGGAAGCCAAGCCAAATCCAGGACATTGTTAAATATATTTGCTTTCAATTTCCCTGAAAGCAGGGGTGGAGTCCCTCCTCTCTAAGGTCACTTATTTTTTGCCTTAAACCTTCATTTAGGAAGAATTTGTAATAACTATTTCATATTTGAAATCAAGTTAATTTCAGAGGTCAAGAGGGAAACAGTCCTCATGCACTGGCTGAAAAATTCTCTCCCAACCTGTTATTCTGATGTTCTCTGTACTGAAGCTGTGCTTTTATGCTCCTGTGGGCTAGACCTTAAAAATCTTTTTTGAAAGCCCTGAAGTCTTATGTCTGTATTAGCCTTATCAGTGAACTATTTCAATAACAACATTCAGAGTATCTCTCCTAATAAATAGTGTAGGCAGAAACAGCTCTGCTAAAAATCCACCTTTGGGCTCTAAGCAGATAGCGAGAAGCAACCAGAGTACAAGAGGATAAGCTTAGTCATCATTGCCCCTTTTGTCAGTGGTTGCCCTGCAGTCTTTATCTACTATAACTGAACCTGTAGACCCTAGGAACTACTGTGATTAACTTTTGGTCCTAAAGACCGTGGGTTAACCATCCCCTTCAGCAGCCAGAGATATCCAGCAAAGGCATGTGTAATGAGGGTTGCAAAGGGAAGATGTATACCCAGGGCTTTCAACAGCTGCATCAGCTCAGATGGAGGGTTAGCAGGCTCCAGTTTGAGTTGCTGGCTCCTAATCACATCTTAAAATTGCCTTTTCTAAGCACTTAGATTTAGTACATGACAGTACAGCCCTGCTAGGGTGTTAGCACGCCATAACACACTAGCAGAAGTAAACGAGCTTGTCACACATAGCCTATACCACCACCACAAAATCTGGCTGCATTTTTGTCTTAGTATGAAATTCAGGTTGCCACAATGAAAAGGTAATGACTACCTAGTTGACCAGCCTGCAAATCTTACCATAGATTGTACAGTTTTGCAAGTTTTCTTCATTTCTCTGCATCCCAACTGTCTAGTTTGTTGAAATTAGAACAAAATAAGGACAAATAACATTCTAGTTCCTTATCTTTCTGGGTTTTTTATTTTTTTATTTTTTTATATATTATTATTTTTTTTAATTTTTTTATATATTATTATTTTTTTTATTAGTTAAGTAATATTAGGGAGATATACAGGGGAATGTGCAGACAACTGTGTGAAAAATTTATGTGATTAATTTATGTTTTTTTGGTTTTTTTAAAATATTTTTGTTTCCCAGCTGCACATCTATTTCACTTTAAGTGCCTGTGCTTTCAGACTTCCAATAAATTCAACAGTTTTTTTAATGTATATAAGTTTTTTTAATGTATATAAATATATCTCAGAATGGCAGAGCAATTAATTTATATGGTGGGTAAGTGATTTGACAGAAAGTTGCCTAATGGTGAGGAGAACAGTTTTCTTTATGTATATAAATATACCTCAGAATGGCAGAGCAATTAATTTATATAGTGGGTAAGTGATTTGACAGAAAGTTGCCTAATGGTAAGGAGAACATAAACCACTGGATAAAAGCAAAACAACAAAGTTAAAGCATTCAGTTGTTAAACATAATTATTGTCCTGAAATCTCAGAATCCTGCTCTGTTTATGGAATAGGGCTGTTAAAACATCCCTTGTCCTCTCTAAGTCCAAGCTGCTTTAATTTTTTTCATATGAAATCCTGTATCATATCTGTCTGCAGTCTCATTCTATGCATGATAAAAAAAAATGTATATTTTTTATGATGAGTCTTTCTCTGACTCTACATCTTTATTTCATTATTTGGGCTTTGATGTTCCTCTGTGAGCAAAACTCAAAGCAGACTCCTCAGGAAATGATGCCTTAGCTTATAAAGCAATTTAATATAAAAGTAAACTAAATTTTTTCTATTCACTAATTACATGTAGCTGCCTTGTGGCTAGTCAGAACAAGATAAAATTGCTGGGCAAAGGTCCTATCATACTGAGTTATGACAACGTACTTGAGGTTGTCACTGTGTATATCTACTTATCCTTTATGAATACCACAATGAACTTTAAATTCAAGTTCTAATAAAGTAGTAGCCAAAAATAAGTGAGGAAGGACAACAAAGTGGAGAAGAAGGCAAACCCCCAACTTTCATTAACACTATTCAAGAGGTGCTTTAATTTGAAATGGCAGGTTGGCAGTCTGTAGTTCATTGCTGATATGAAGATTTGCTAGTGTTTTAAAAATAGGCATGTTTTGATAATGTTGATTCTGTCTAAAACTCAGTCTGGTTTGTTTGTAGCACTGAGTAAATTCATTATTTACTGTTAAAAACCATGTAGACTGACAGTTATTTTTATCCAAGAAAACTGCATCAGAGAAAGTGAGTGTTGTCCTTGCCATCTGACTTTTTAAATCCTGGAAAGTAAGAGCTACAAGCAAAATCCAGGAGTTTTTTAATGGCCCAGGGGATAGTAGGTGTAACCTGAATGTAGGGCATTGTAAGAGAGGAGAATTGAAACTGAAGGTTAGCAATGGTGTTTTGTGGCACTGTCTGTTGACAGATGCTTTAGGGTAGAAGAAGGGGGTAATTGATCTAAAGGTCAGCCTGAAATAGGGATGTCTGTGTTCTTCTATCACTTGCTTGTACAAGATTTGTTATTTTCCTTCTCCTGAAAATCTAGCCTCCTAGCAGATGTCAATACCCAACATAGATATAGTTAAGAATATATATTTAATAAATATCAATTAAAATATAAATCCAAATAGCTCTTGATTCAAATATTTCTTTGCATAAAACTATCAGAGATATGTATGTATAATATTCAAAGGACAAATGTTATTTTATTTACCTGAATTATTTAGAAGACAATGGAATTTGCTTAATAAGTTCCTATAAAAAACGTATGTATTAGTTTATTGTTGTTACATGATTATTTATGTGACAATATATTGGCTTTATAATTCCTGGTACAGTGATACATGAAGACTTTTACCTCTGCCTCCTGCTGTGATCTTAGATTAGAAATAAGAGGAGAATGAAGCATACGTGACGGTACCTTTTGGGACAGGTTTCAATAAAATTGAATTGAGGCTATTTGCTGTAAAAGCTGATAAAAGAAGGATCAACACAATTTATGATTTTTTTAGTTCATAACCTGAGGGCTGAAAGACTGATTTCATACAAAAAAAGAAGTAAAAAGAAGAGAAAATGAAATTATTTTGAGGTATTATATGTAGAAATTTGCCTCAAAATAATTGATACCAAGTTTAAAAGTTGTGGCAAAAAGATAAAGACTGAAGGATCACAGTCTTTCTGGCTCAAAATCAATGTATTTCTTTTGAGTTTTTGTTTTTGATTTTGTCAAAAGGACACTGATAGGTGGTACATAGTTAGCTTTTTGTTCAGCCTGTGGGCAGCTGTGAGTTTACTCCTTCCTTCTTTCAGGCTCTACAGTAAGTACACATCTCTTTCTTAATTGCATCTTCCCTGGGGCAGCACTTGAATTATATGGAAGATGCAGAATTTCTAAGCTCCAGAGCTTCATGGAATGTCTGCTTTGTATTTTCCTGCTCTACCCACACTAGTATTGGGTCTGTGTTCTGGGATGTACAAAAACTCATGACTTGTTTCTACATCGAATTTACATATTTTGTTTTAGGAACGCAACATCCTGGAAGGTTTTTTTTTTTAAAAAAAAATAAAAATTCACCTGGAAAGAAAGATTTCCAAAAAGATATATGAAGATATTCAGGGAAATCAATATTTTTGTTGTTAATCTTTGTGAGTTAAATTGGCTCATCATTGATGAAGGAAAGTAAGTAACATATGATCCATTAGTAAGAACATTTAAAGCTTGTAGAATCACACCTGTTCTTTATTTACCCCACTGATTTTTACAATCTCTTAAATGCATGTTACTCTGACTACCTCTGAATAACATTCTCCCAGCTGAGAGTATGGATATCAAAGATTATGGATATATCAGTGACAGCACCACCACCATTTTTATCTCAGTTTCTCTCTTCTTCCTTCATCACTGGATGGCAATGTTTCTTGCTTAAATTTTTGACCATACTTTATACCTCAGTGTAGATGAGAAGAGAGAATTTTGCTAGGTCATATGAACTTATATGTTTTGTCAAAACAGTGGTTTTGTCCTTCTACGTAGTAAAAATACATAGTGAAATTTTGGTGATGGTGGTATGAGCAGCAGTTGTGTATCCTAAAGCCTTATGTATCCTTTAGCCTATCCTAAAGCACTAACTAGCCTTAGT